AACCTCCAAATTCAAAGTTGAGAAGTCAAATGCAATATAATAGACCAAAAGTGCTAGCTAGCTTAAGTAGTAAAAACTGAATCATTTACCTAATCATTTACCTAATCAACAACAAACAACAATATCTGTTGTTCCTCTCTCTTTTTTTGAATTTTTAACCTCCAAATTCAAAGTTGAGAAGTCAAATGCAATATAATAGACCGAAAGTGCTAGCTAGCTTAAGTAGTAAAAACTGAATCATTTACCTAATCAACAACAACAACAACAACAACAACAACAACAACAATAATAATAATAATAATAATAATAGGCCCAGTTCTAAAGATGCCAGCTTAATTGACAAGATTCTCCAAAAAGGTTTTGGTAAGTGTGGCATGTCATATACACTGCTTCATTAGTCGATAATGAATAATACTTCATGACGCGATGTAATCCTTGCAAGAGAAGGAAAATCATAAAACCTCAAAAATAATTTCAAGTAAATGGACCATACACATGATCCTTCACAGTTCACATCCTAAAGTGAGCAATTACAAAAATAAGCAAAAATTAACATAAGTGAGTCAGAGTAGTCTATGGGAATTATATGTAGTATATAATTAACAACAAAAATCAAAATGTTTTAAGTACCTACATATAGATTGTAGCAGATATCAACTGATGTGAAACAGTTGCATGTGGCAGGAAGAGAAACAATAGAATTAAAATCTAACAAACAAGACATGATATCTACAATTGCTGGTACAACTTATAAGAAATGCAAGATAGAAAAACTATTAAGATGAAATGAGAACAAAATACATAAGTAACATAGATGATTACACAGGTACATAACTCATCATCTGATACCAAAGTATACAACCTGCTTCAATTTAATATTTTAAAAAATAAATTATCTCATAAATAACTTGAAATGGAAAAGAATTAAAAACGATGGTACATACCATCCAGATCACGAATTGCATCCTGAGCATCTCTCCGATCATCAAAATCAATGAAAGCAAAGCCCGGAGGTTTTCTAGCAACCCACACACTGCACCCAAAAAAAAGTTTTTTTTTTTGCTTAAAAGGTTATTTTACTATTCCTTGCTTTCATGTCAGATGCAGTGACAATGAAAAAAATATTTAACAATTTCTTGGAGAATGTAATTAATAACCAGCAAGCTTTTTGCAAGAAGGATACAGATGTTACACAGATGGAGCAGTAGCAAGCAACAGACAACTTCATGCAGATCATGCACCTAAACAGTTCCAAGAGATTCGCCCAAGCTTCACACTATCATATCCATTAAAACATCTTAATCCAATGATATAAAGATGAAGGCTCCCCTCCCATTGAAAAAATGACTTTCCTTTTTGTGGGAACAAGTGCCTTAGCATTAACCTTACAGTAATAGCTGACTTGACTTCAAATTCCCTGACCAAAGAAGATCAGCCGCTCAGAAAATTTCTAACTTTGTTTTTTCATTCTGCACTCTTATAGCTATTGTATAATTTACATACAACAGAAAGTCCAGTTCTCCACATGCATGCCTAAGGTTTCAATGACCTTTTTTCTTCAACAACATCTAGAAACACTGACTACTCACATAACTTTCTTTCTCTTCTGGTAATTATCTAACAACAGTAAATTCTGAAACTAAAACAAAGGCCAAAAAGGTTGTGAATTCTGAAGTCCTTTTCTTTTAATTGGACGAATTGCAATCGATCATGGCATGAAGTTTTCGCCCTCACCTAATACTCTAAAACCAACCAAACGTGGAGTGCAATTGTTAAGTTTCTGCATTTAGAAACACTACAGAAAAATGATGTACACGACCAAAGAGCTCCGCAGCACATTTTACATCAAAACATAGGTTCCTTGTTATGTCTTAATATGGACTGCTCAAGGAAAATAGCCTAAACAAAGAAAAAGAAACCCAACAATCAGATAATAACATCATAATATCAAGAAAGAATGTTAGAAATTTTACCTTCGCAGAACCCCAAATACTCGAAACTCATCTTCAAGTTCCCGGGCAGTAGTTCGGGGGTCCAAATTGCCAACATAGAGACGAGCCATCACGGATCCCCAATCTGCAATTATCTATAGTCATTCATTGATCGCTTCAGCAACAAGGTTGGGAATTTTCATGTGCCAAAAATCACAAGCCATTTCCACTTCGACTATCTTCAAATCTTACGAAAAAAGTGACAGGATCATGAAACCCAAGACAAATTTACTTCCGAAACAACTGAGTACTCAGAATCCAAGATTCAAAGAAATCATTTCCCTCTTTAAACCCGAATTCGTAAGCAACTTCTTAAAAACACAAATAGGAACTTAAATGGCCCGACAAATCTCGCGAGACGAACGTTTTCTCAAGGGAAAGGTGGACGCCAGAAAGGATTAGCGAGAAATCGCACCTTTCTCAGTCCGAAGTCGAATAAAGATTAGGGTTTCGAAGCGATGGAAGAAGAAGACGAATAGATCCGAACACAAGTGAGGCCAGTCAATGGCAAGAGGGACGGATCGGTCCTTACCGTCAACCTGGATCGAGGAATTTGGAGGATCGGCTTCGGGCTTCGGACTTCGGGCTTCGAGGGTTTTGCAGAATGCACTGCCTGCAACCCTTGACTCGATTAAAAAAAGGTGCGTTCCATTAGATGGGTATACGTACTGGAGGGACCCGGTGCTCGATCTAGAGCGTCCATCTAGTATGGCCCACCAATCGTGGGTTCTTTTGATGGCAAGTACGTTGCCGGTGCTCGATCTGGGCCGTCGAAATGAACAACATGATGTACCGATGGTTGATCTCGACGAGGTAATGGTGTGGGTGATGGATTTGCATAATCTGGAACCTGAGTTGTCACTTCTTCTGTCGTGCCATGTGTCGCGTGTGGGGTTAAAGATGCATGATCTGGAACGTGAGTTGTCACTTTTCCGCCCCTTTGTTACGTACATTCGATAATAACTAAGGTATCCAAAACAAAAGTACTTATTGTTTTATGGATGCATCATGCAAATAATTATATTAGGATTTCGAATGTTTTTATTTTAATCTTGAATGAATACATTATATATATAAGAGATGTGATATTTATCCTAGGCAAATGCATGCATTATACATAAATATAATATTTTTATTGTATATGATATTTTAAGGAATTATCTGTTTTGAACAATAGGTATTCCTGTACAATTTTATCATTTCGAAATTCATGGGATCCAAAAAATATTTTTAAGGGTAAAAGAAATTGGCAGACTTACGAGCTCTTAGTTTTCATACTCCTCAAATAATATGGGATTAAATTATCTTATTAGTGCTCCCTCTGGTAGGAGAGCCAATGGCTCATTCTTGAGGTGTATGGCTCAGGCATGGATTTGCTTAATTAAGGTGCAGCTCTCCTTCTAGTACTAAAAATATTATGATTATTTATGTCGTAGCTCAGGAAAGGGCACGGTTTAATTCAGTCCCAATAATGTAAGGTCGTCTGTATGGTTACTTTGAAGAAAAGCTTCATAGAAAATGGATGAAGAATCGAGGTCATTGTCTCTTAGGGTGTTTTCTAGTCCTGAGTCCCAACACAATAGGTCAACGTCGGAGAGGGGAGTTCTGGCTTGACCCCTCTGAAGCTTAAGTCAATTTTTATGAATAGTGAATCCTGTCATCTAACATCTATCTGTCAGCTCTCTCGCTCATCGACGTCTATTGATATTTCAAGCTTATGTGTTCCAAAACCATCCTCTCGACCTCATGTCTTACGAGGTTGCATTCTCACTGGCAAGTGTCACTTTGTTCGATTCCGAACGACATGGACTTGTTATGCGCCGCTTTTGAGTCGAGCTATGTCACTTCTGGACCCGATGGTGGCTGTCATCTAAATGATACCAGAATATCCTCTATCGAACATCAAAGACACATTGATCACATTCAATGTATTAGATTTTTTTTTATTTTAATGAGCACATCATAAGTAAAAAAAGATATATTAATAGTATAAGATGTTTTAAATATTTATTTATCTTAGACACACTTCGAATGTCTTTTGTCATAGGTGGACTGTCACTTGTAAACATGACATATTTGTTGCATTGATCATAAAATCATGCGCAAAAGAAGACACACTTTGAATGTCGTTTGTCATAGGTGGACTGTCACTCGTAAACAGGACATATTTGTTGCATTGATCATTTAAATTATCCTTTTATCATGAATGTCTTTTTGTCATGAATAGATGTATCACACAAAAAGACACATTGGTCATGTGAGGTGGAGACCTTACAAATAATCGTGTTGTTTAATAAAAGTGATTAAATGATATAATGGTAATTAGGATTACAAATATAAAGAAAATGACTTGGGTTCAAGTAACAAAGAAAAAGTCCACAAATAATCCTCTTAACTTTGGAACTTTGAATGATCAGAATAAAATAGGCTTGAATCTGTTGGATAAAGCCAAAGATTGCGAGAATCTCTCGGTTTAGTTTTGCGACAATGTTAGTCCCATCTTCTCTGTCATCTTCTTGAATGCTGAAGGTTCAGCTAAAGAGTCACACCAGTGGCCAAGCTATGCAGCTTCTGTGCGCCGGCAGATATGGAGGTCACACTAACATTTCTCACAGCAATCTTGGTTTGAGGAGGAGTTGCATTGATGCATCTCTACCCTATGATCTTTAGTTGTGGTTGGACAAGAGTCCAAATGGCAGGTGATACTGAAAGGAGACAAACGATTGAGCAAATGCATTTAGCTCCCGAGGAAGAAATAAGAGGGGGAGGAGTGTGTCTGCAAGCTCCTGCTAGGCTACAGCACGGCACTATGCATGAACCGATTAGAATGTTGTCCCATAGAATTAACAGAGATGGTGATGTGATGTCTAAAATTTTCCTAAATGGTGACCAAACAGAGCATCCGAATCAATGGGAAGAAACAGAAACAAGAAACAAGGAGTGAAAGAAACCAAAACAACATTCCACAGAGCAAAAGGGAGGTAAGGAGAGAATGAGAGAGTTGTAGGAGTGGTAGAAGACAAGCATACCAAGCCAACCAGCCTGCTGTCGCAACTCCCTTCTTTCTCTTCTCTCACCACACACCTGAAACACTGTTGCATTCAAATGGCTGGGCAATGTAGAGCAGGAGATGAACAAGCTTCCAAAGAAACAACAATAGTAGATAGTATCTACAATGTAGCACAGGAGGCAAAGATTAGGGAAGGAAAAGAAGTGATTGAGCCGACGACGCCAATATCGCGCACTGCACACGCACAAAAACCCTTAAGGCAAGAAAACCTTCACCAGCTTCTCTGTCTCTTCATCTTCTTCTGCATCTGCAGTGTCCTGACCTTCCACCAACTCCCAAACACATCTTAGTTTTTGGTTGCTGTAGCAACTGCAGCTTCCTTCTTTTCCACTGCAGCTCCTTCTTTCTTTCTTGCTTCTTCTCCTCCCGTGGAAGCAGGAGGCAACATCGCTTCCTGCATAGCACTCTGCACCCCCCTCTACCTTCATCACTCTTCTCTTGCTCCCTGTGCCGGAAAGTAAGATATTAAGGAACACTAACTGCATTTATTTTCCTCTCTCTCTCTCTCTCTCTATTTTCCACAACCCTTCATTGAATCTACTCCGTTCACCTCTCACCAACTCTCCAAGTAGGCAATAAATACACTCCCTGTACAGAATACCTACTACAGGGTTTTGAATGACCTTAATGGCCTTACCCAATTTGTAGGTGACAGGGACAGATGAGAAAGGCGAAGAGGCATCTGTCGACCACATACAGAAGGGCAGTCTGGGAACGCAAGAACCACGGCAACGTTCTGCCCCCCGGGTTTTACGTACCCAAGACACACTCCTGTGGGAAGCTGCGGCAGGCCAAACCCACCGAGAAGGGAGAAGACACATAAATTACCTCTTAGGATACCTCTTTCTGTCTCTAGTCTTGTATTTAATCCGACCAGCAAGCTGGGAGCAGCAAGCGGAGGAGAACATTTAGGGAGCAAGATGATACAGCCATCGTGAGGCCAAAACATTCCAACATTATCCGAGACCGAAAGGTCATTTGTTGCTATATCAGTGCTCATTTCTCTTGTATGAATTGGACAACGACATGGGCTGAAGCGGCAGCAGTCTGCTGGCTCTCCCATGTGCCAGAAACCAACAAGAGCATGAGTATATTTCTTGGACCACCGATGTGTTTACTATGATCACCTCGCCGGAGTTATTTCCGTGGGTTAACAGCTGTGTTAAGGTATAATCTTATCACTCGGATCATGCGTTAGCATTCGTTTTTGTTGGTCAAACCACACTGAGAGAATCCTCTATGACCTACTCCACTTTGGTGGATTTGTAAAGGTTATGATGATGAGGGTATTGTCTCAATCATGCAGGCTTGCAGTCGTCTCAACAACAACGCAAAGTAATTGTGATCATGACAAGTAGACACAACCAGCTGCACTGTTTCCCAGGAGGAGAGAAAAGAGAAAAAGGAGGGAGAGAGAGAGAGAGATGAGAGGTTGGAGAACATGGCACGCACACCACAAGGACCACATCAGGATCAGCCATGGGAATGTCAGCAGGAGAAAAGAAAAGCTCAGCTCACCATTGTGCAAGTGAACATCTTGGATCGTCTTCACGCACTGAGAAGAGGACTCCTTTGGTGACAGAACAAGAAGAAACTGTTGTTGGTGGTGAAACAAGGAGGTCGTGTGCGAAGTGAACATCTTTCTGAGAAGAAATGGATCGTCGTCGCGCACTGAGAAGCGGACTCCTTTGGTGAAAGAACAGAAGGAACTGTTGCTGATGCCGAAACGAGGAGGTGGTACGCAGGAAGCTGTGCATCGAGACGAGCTATTAACACGCATCCATGCCGTTGTCATCTTGCTCGTGTAGAGAGAGAGAGAAAGAGAGGGTTTTGTCTCTCTGACTCAAAAGTGGACTAGTCGCTCGAGAATCGAGGAAGAGTCCTTTCTGTGGTGGAGTTATCGTCGCTGGCTGGAGACAGGCACGACGGCACTTGCTGTTCTGTCAATGCCTTAATCCATGAACAGATGCATCACTGTAGATAAGTACAAGTTTATGATTCATACACTTCACTACCAGACGCAAGAACATTCTTCTTGTTTCTTCTAAACAGGTGAAGTACCATTCAACGATGTGCAAGCGGATGAAATCTCAACCAGTGAACTGAAGATTGTTAGATAAATTGATACTGAAGAAGAATCTCGTAATAGTTCAAACAAGCAGTCTGTGGAAGAATGCTGGGGTTCTTCCGACTACTTTGAGATCAGAAGAGCAAGCAGCTGCCACAGTGATAGCCTGCAAGAAGATGTGCAGGTCCATCACGGTTTCCACATGAGACTCTTACTTCCTTTCCATGCATGCCATCTATAGGTAGTATTCTCTTCTTGAAGGCAGTTCACCTACTCAAGCGATTCCCTTCGTGTCTCCACCGTCTTCATCTTTCAGCTCAAATTAGGACTGTAATAGAAATTCCACAGCCAAATGAGAGGGAGCAGAGCCACCTTCTGAAGCACATCTTTAACTAAGTCTCAATCGATAATTCAATCACATAAATATTTAATTTATTTTTTTTTAAAAAAATATTTTTAATTATATTGTAAAATATTCTTCTTCGTTAAATTTATCACAAAAATATATAATATAATTTTAAATCAAAAACTTCTACTTTTCATCCTATAATCAATTAAAATATATAAAATTTTCTATTTAATCTCGATCTTCACGTGACGAATATATGAATCTCTGGTGCAGTAACATTAAAAGTCCTATACATATATATATCAATAAAAACTCATATTAATCTTAATATCATCGAGATCCACAATATCATTATTCAAATCATAATTAAAATAAAATAAAAAATAAAATAATTATTACTTAGATGTGGGCCAAGGGAATCTCATGCACTTGGAGATGAGCTTTTCATTCCTACTACCTACAGTGCATGAAAGTCGTGGTCTTTTTCTAAGATTTTTTTGATCTTGGACTTATTTATTGGGAACCACAATAATTAAGGTATTTTACAAGGTTATCTTCTTGTCCTTTGTACTGTTTCTATGCCACAAATTTCATTAAAGATCATTTATTGATTCCTGAGTTCATCACATGAGACGCCATGCAACTCATGGATGGATGGGGTGAGAAAAAATATAATATATAGTTTATTAAAATACTCGCGCATGGAGCACGAGCATAATACTAAAATATAAAATTTGAATTATCATATTACATTTAGAATTTAAACACTATGAAGCTCCTACTCATCTTTGTCTATTGGCAAAATATGAAATTATTATTATTATTATTATTTATCGTGTGAAAATATCATAATTACAATTGAGGTTGTTTTAATTTTATTTTTGAAAAAAATTAAATTCATAACATATATTTTATTATAGTAAGAATTTTAAG